TTTTTTTTGTATTAATTATTATAGAAAAAACGTTTCGGCGTTTTTTCATATAAAATTATTAAAAAAAAATGCCGAAACGTTTTTTTTTGCATTATTATTAAGAAAAAACGTTTCGGTGTTTTTTCATATAAAATTATTAGAAAAAAAACGCTGAAACGTTTTTTTTGTATTAATTATTATAGAAAAAACGTTTCGGCGTTTTTTCATATAAAATTATTAAAAAAAAAATACCGAAACGTTTTTTTTGCATTATTATTAAGAAAAAACGTTTCAGCGTTTTTTCATGTAAATTATATTAAAAAAACGCCGAAAATGTTTTTTTTTGTATTAGTTGTTAAGAAAAAACGTTTCGGCGTTTTTTCATATAAAATTATAAAAAAAACGTCAAAACGTTTTTTTTTTTGTATTAATTATTAAGAAAAAACGTTTCGGTGTTTTTCATATAATAAATATTAAAAAAACGCCGAAACGTTACTTTTTTTAACAGAAAAATGTCAAGTTTGGCGTTTTTTTGTTTTTTTTAACTAAAAAATGTTGGGTTGACGTTTTCAATTAAAAAACCTGGGTTTTTTTAATTTTTTAATCATTTTTGATACACGGGTCAAATGGGTCAAACGGGTCGGGTCGGGTAAGACGGGTTACCCGATCCGATCTGACCCGATTTTTTTGTCGGGTCGGGTAAGACGGATTACCCGACCTGACCTGACCCGTTCGGAACACTAGTAATGTAAACGGTTTCTGAAAAATACATATAAAAGTCAAAGATGATTGGCAAAATTTTGCTTTAAAATAAGGGGAGTGACACATATTAAGTCATATTTATTTTACTATGAATTCTATCCCTTTCTCCCTCTTGTCAGATTTAATAACCAATTAAATTTAATTATACAATTTATATAAATAGAATAAGTGTAATGTCAGATTTTAATTATCCCCCCCCCTCTAATAATTATGTCATATGTATCACTTTCCTAAGCAAATATTTTTACTAAGATCAATACGCAAAGTTGACTTCTGACTTTATAATTTATATTAGAATAAGCAAATTTTTTTTATGACATTTATATATTAAAAAAAATGAAATCATGGTTTTTTTTAATTTAATTAGTTGTATTTAGAATCACTGGTCAAAATTAATACTATCGGATACTTATTAGGTACCTGATATGTGTACAATATATGTGATATATGTAATAGTTATTCCACGGGTAGCCGTGAATATCAATGATTTTCATGGCGCAGCCGTGAAAATTAATTGATATTTATGGCTATCCCGTGGAATAACTGTTTTATATCACGGGGACTAACATCCGTGG